GGACAGAAGATCTTTCTGTATCTTTGTAAATCTACCTTTCCTAGAATAAACAAATCTTTTTAAAACTGCTTAAAGAAACAGCTTTATAATAGCCATTGCTGCAATTTAGGAAGTCAAACAATGGATGGAAGCCCTGTCTCCGTTTTTGAAATGTATTTTTATTGGAACAGCAGATTTACAGAGGAGAGAGATCTGTCTGCTCGTTCAGTTTGCTAGTTCACTCCCTAAGAAACCACAAAACAGATCAGGGGCCTGGAGCTTCTGGTCTCCCACGTGAGTGCAGGATTCCAAGGCTTTGTGCCATTCTTGACCGTTTTCCCGAGGCCACCAGCAGGGAGCTGAATGGGTAGTAGTGGAGCAGCCAGGACCCGAACCAGCACCCATATAGGAGCCCGGGTATGCAAGGTGAGGGTTTCCACTAGGGTATTGCACTGGAGCCTCTCTGTCTTCTCCTTAAATCTTATCTTCCTTTCAAATAAAAAGTCATTGAAGTAAATTTGTCTGATCTACATCAGAATTTATACTTACCAAGTATTTAAATAATTTTGGCTGAATTATGTGTCATTCTGTACATACGCTCATGGCTGTAAGTCTTAAGTTTCTCAGAATGCGCCAAGGTCAATAATTTCATGGTCTGAATAGAAAAAAATGGAAAATTCTTGCAAAATAAAAATGTTGTAAGATCAGTATGTAGTAGTACCACTATTTGATAACACATTTTTATGACACTTCAATCTCATTTAGAATGTTCCTTATGTGGACTGAGTGTTCAAATGTATATTATAATCTGAAACATGAGCAAGCATGTTATTTTTTAAAAAGAATTATTACAAAGATATACAGAGAGGAAGAGCTTCCATCTGATGATTGTGACCGCAACAGCCAGTGCTGCGCCGACCCAAAGCCAGGAGCCACGAGCCTCTTCCGGGTCTCCCACATGGGTGCAGGATCCCAAGGCTTTGGGCCATCCTCAACTGCTTTCCCAGGCCACAAGCAGGGAGCTGGATGGGAAGTGGAGCTGCTGGGATAGGACCGGCACCCATATGGGATCCCAGCATGTTCAAGGTGAGGATTTTAGCTGCTAGGCCATGGCACCAGGCCCATTATTTTTAAACTTTTTTTTTTTTTTTTTTTTTACTTGACAGGCAGTGTTAGAGGTTAGATATCTTCCATCTACCAGTTCACTCCGTAAATGGCCGCAGGTGCTGCAAGGGCCAGTCTGAAGCCAGCAGCTTTGGACTCTGCCATGTGGGTTCAGGGGCCTGAGCGTTTGAGCCATCTTTCCCGGGGTCTTAGCAGGGAGCAGGATCAATGTGAGGCAGCTGGGAGTTGAACCCTTGTGGAATGCCGGTGCCATAGGCAGAAGCTTAGCCTGCTAGCACTAGCCCTAGAATGTTTTGTTTTCTATTTTATTACTTTTTTCAGAATAAATGTTTTTAAGGAAGTCAACCTTCTATTACATATTTTCCATTACTGAATTAGCACTGAATATTTCTAATAACTGCTGGTAATTTTTAGTGAGATTTTGTACCACTTCCACCAAGTGACAGTTTGTCACCAATGCATGTGTTGCTTATGGGACAGGTCACCAGCAAAAATGTAGTATGGATTTCTTTGGTAAAACTCGGTGGTGACAATATTTTGAACAAGTATGTAGAAAGTTTGTAATTAATCTTGTCCTGAAGAATGATTTTTTAAAAATATTATTATTGGAAAGATATTTTTATTGGAAGGCTGATTTACAGAGAGAAGGAAAGACAGATTTTCCATCTGCCACAACAGCTGGAGCTGAGCTGATCCGAAGCCAGGGGCCAGGAGCTTCTGGGTCTCCCACGCGGGTGCAGGGTCCCAAGGCTTTGGGCCATCCTCGACTGCTTTCCCAGGCCACAAGCAGGGAGCTGGATGGGAAGTGGTACAGCCACCGAGATATGAACTGGGGCCCATATGGGATCCCAGCATGTGCAAAGTGAGGTCTTCAGCCACTAGGCTAACATGCCTGACCCCTTTGCAGGTGCTTAACAGGAAGCTGGATCAGAAGCAGAAAAACCAGGACTTTAACTTGGGATGCAAATATTTTTTATTTATTTTATTGTTATTATTTTTATTACAAAGTCAGATATACAGAGAGGAGGAGAGATAGAGAAGAAGTGGAGCTGCTGGGATTAGAACCGGCGACCATATGGGATCCCGGTGCATTCAAGGTGAGGCCCTTAGCCACTAGGCTACACCGCCAGGCCCCTAGGGATGCAAATATTTTAATAACTGGTTTAGTCTGCTATGCTGCAACACATACCATAGTATACAGTATGTTAAAATCAGGATGAATGTCCTAATGCCCACTCATGATTTTTTTCCCCTAAAGCTGGTTTTAGTACCTACATAAAAAATTTATTTTTGGGTCATCCTCTCTACTGCCTTTGCAGGTCACAAGCAGAAAGTTAGATGGAAAGTGGAGCAGCCAGGACATGAACTAGCCTGTATGGGGTGTGGTGCTTGGAGGTGGGAGATTAGTCAGTGGAGCCATTATGGCAGCACCAACCCCTGTTTTTAAAATTTAACTTCTCTTGAATTAAGGTCTGTCGTACTTTTAAAAGCACAGATGTTTGATTTTAACTAACATTACTATTATTGGATTTGACACCACCTCGTAAGCCTTTGGGGCCACCTGCTACCTGTACAACCCCTGCTAACCTCATTACATCCTAGAGACATTCCAACTGATGACAGCTCATTTGATGCACACTAATTGTGGAGAAGGTTGCCATGATTGTGCCTTGATCAGCACAACTAGTGGGGTGATGCATTTGGAGATATGAAGTGTTTCAGAGCGAGGGAAATGCTGAAACTACATCCATGGATCTAGGATCTTAATAGAGGATCTTTTTTTTTAAAGATTTATTTTATTATTTTTATTGGAAAGGCGGATATACAGAGAGGAGAGACAGAGAGGAAGATCTTCCGTCCGATGATTCACTCCCCAACTGACCACAACGGCCGATGCTATGCCGATCCGAAGCCAGGATCCTCCTTCAGGTCTCCCACGCGGGTGCAGGTTCCCAAAGCTTTGGGCTGTCCTCGACTGCTTTCCCGGGCCACAGGCAGGGAGCTGGAAGGGAAGCAGGGCTGCCGGGATTAGAATGGCGCCCATATGGGATCCCGGGCGTGCAAGGCGAGGACCTTAACCACTGTACCATCGCGCCGGGCCCTTAATAGAGGATCTTAAATGAAAAGCTAATGGTTGTTGTTGTAAGATTCATTTATTTTTATTGGAAAGATTTACAGAGACTGAAAGATCTTTCATTTGCTGGTTCACTCCCCAAGTGGCTGTGCCTTTGCAGCTGAGCCAATCTGAAGTCAGGAGCCAGGAACCTTTAGGTTTCCCAGGCAGGTGCATGGTCCCAAGACTTGGGCCATCCTCTACTTTTTTTTTAAGATTTTTTTTTCCGGGTCCGGCGCAGTGGCCTAGGCTAAAGTCCTGGTCTGAAAGCGCCGGGATCCCATATGGGCACAGGTTCTAATCCTGGCAGCCCTGCTTCCCATCCAGCTCCCTGCTTGTGGCCTGGGAAAGCAGTGGAGGACAGCCTAAAGCTTTGGGACCCTGAAGCCACATGGGAGACCTGGAAGAAGTTCCTGGCTTCGGATTGGCGCAGCACCGGCCTTTGCGGTCACTTGGGGAGTGAGGCATTGGAAGGAAGATCTTCCTCTCTGTCTCCTCTCCGTATATCTGACTTTACGATAAAAATAAAATAAATCCTTAAAAAATATATATTTTTTATTATTGGAAAATCAGACTTGACAGAGTGAAGGAGAGACAGATCTTCCATCTGCTGGTTCTCTCCCCAAGTAGCCACAGCACCTGGAGCTGAGCTGATCTGTGGTCAGGAGCCAGGAACTTCTAGATTTCCCACACCGGTGCAGGGGCCCAAGGTTTTTGGCCGTCGTCCACTGCTTTCTCAGACCACAAGTGGGGAGCTGGAAGGGAAGTGGAGCTTCTGGGACATGAAGTGGCACTCACAAGGGATCCTGGCACAGGAAGGCAAGGATTTAGTCACTGAGCCATTTTGTCTGGGGACCCTAACCTGGTGTTTACTGTTAGGGTTCATAGTTAGAAAAAATTCCAGAATTTTTAGAAACATGTCAAGCTGGATTTTAATACACTTTTCAAACAAACTATGTAATACTGATTTTTTGTATTGATGTTTTTGCGTTTTATAGTCATGTTTTCTGCATGTCATGTCTATATAAGATCATAATAAAAAAAATCGTAATTACAGCTATTTATTTTCTCCACCTCAGGAGAATCCTATAGATGTTTAAAATGATAGGCGGACAAAAAAAAAAAAAAGACAACAAAACAAACAAATGATAGGCGAGTGAATGAATAAATGAAGAAGTGACCCAGAGCTTGAAATGGCAATATTAAGGTAGTGAGGTGCCAGCAGCGCTTTCTCCTACCGGACACAGAAATTATGAATTCATCAACATAACTCTCCTCCTTTGATATTCTCTCTCAGATGGATAAGGGCAAGTTCGTAATCCTGGTTTTGCCATTTTGAATGAGCAGCCGGGTGACAGAGCACGTTAACACAACCAAATAATAGCATATCCGTTTCACGCTGGGCAGAATGAATTCTATGGAAGGAGCTTCCATGGTACATCTTGAGCTGAGGTTAGGAAACTAGGGCATTTGGGGGTTGTTTTCTTCTTTCCTTCCCTCCCCCCCTCCCCCGGCCTCGGCTGGCTCGCTCGGAGGGAGCGGCCCGTGGCTGCGTGTCGGCTTGGGGGCAGCAGGGGGCGGGAGAAGCTTGAGGCTGGCTTCGCGTTCCCTTTCACGTGACGCGCCGCTCTCCTTCCCGTGGCGGCCCCGCTTCCGGCCGGGGCAGCACCCGGAAGTGGGGGGGAGTCGCGAGAGGGCGGGGTAAGGACGGCCTGCCGCGGCGGCAGGGGGTGGAAAGAAAGAAGCAGAGGGAGGAGTTTTTGCCAGCGCCGCAGCCGCGCTGCTACTGGGAGTTCTGCGGGCGTGTGAGCTTCGTGTGTGCGTGCGTGGATTTCTCGCCGCCGCGGTCTGCGCAGCTCCGGAGGTTTAACCACGGCACAGAAAAACAGGTAAGTCTTGTATCAGCTTCCCGTCGTGCCTTTCTACTCGAGGGGCGATCCGAGCTGTCAGTGTAAACCAGCAAGTATGAGAAGGTCATGTTAATCTTAGGGCAATCGCCAAACTCTCACTTCTTCACCACTGAGGTGTTTTCCACATTTAAGTTTTTCCTCCCCGCACAGGGGCTGGAGAAGGGGTGATCGGGTCCCGTCCCGTGTCACTTTGTTGTAAGCGTCCTGGGGAGTGTCTTGATCATCCGTGGCCTATTTGCCTAATTGACAGGGGGTCCTAGAGGGGTCTGTGCCCCGTGTCGGAAGCCACAGGGACTTGGTCTTGGCTTAGTGACGCACACCCCCTATGTATTTTCGAAACGAAAGATTACTAAAGCCACCACTACCGATGAAGTAAAAAAAATTTAAAAATAGCCGTTTGCTTTCTTGGCTCACCGGGGATCATGTGCTAAGCCGGATTCTTGTTTCCACTTTATTTTATTCATTACCCTAAAGTTCCTCTCCATCCCTGTCGCACCCTGGGACGTCTTTAAACGCTTTTTGTTGTAGACTCTGAAGTTATCTTAAGTTCTGACAACACTCCTTTGTCATGTCACAATTGAAAATTCTGCTAGAATCTGATCTTTGCTTTAATCCTAGCTTCTTAACCTACAGTTATGAATACTGTTCAAACAATGTGTGGAGGACACTGAGTTCAGTAACACCGAGGTGTGAGAGCGGGTGCACGGGAATGGAGTTCATGGCCTTCAAAGTATTAGTAGTCGAATCAGTTAAGTTGGGCTTTGAAGACAATGGCTTCTTAGTAGCCCCACTAATTGAATAACTAGGTTGTTATATCTCATGTGTTTTAAAGGTTACTTTAAACTCAGTTTATTTTTTATATGTCAAACTTTTTTCCGTCTGTACTCATGACATGTATTTTTTTTTTTTCCCTTACTGGAAAGTCTCACAGTGCAGTAGGGCAAGATGGATCCATGGTTACCAAGGCACATTTTTGTCTCAGTCATACATTATATTAGAAACAGGAAGTGTTATGACAGCCAGAGAAGGAGCGATTGAATTGGGCCTTCAGAACTGGTTGGGATTTAGTTACACAATGATGGAGAAAGGAGCATATAGGCCACGAGAAATAGTGTGAGCAAAACTTTGCGAGGACTGGGAACGTGCAGGACATGGGATAACCCTACCGCCCTGTGTCTAACATAACTGCATCTTTCATGATGTCACCAGCTAAATATATATATACACACATAAGAGAGAGAGAGAGAGAATATAGAAAAACCTGGTCAACTCAAAGATATCCAAATGTCTTCAACCAATCGGAAAGCCTGTATATATCGAAAATACATGGAAATGACAAAAATAATGTTAGTGTATGACATCTTAATCTAATATAAAGTCGAAATGACAGAATAAGACTTGCTGTACTCTAATTTTGATTCAGTGTTGTACCTTCAAGATAAGTTAGAAGCGTTTTTTAAATTGCTGGAAATAAATAACATTGTCTAATGTCAGAAGCTCCTCAGGTTTCCTCAAGAAGTTGCTCCTCAGTCCTTTTGCACATTTATTTTCTCTACTGGTCTTTTTCAAGGATAGAAGCTACTGTTTTCTAATCACAGTCTTAGAAAGATCTTTATCCCTGACTTCGCAGGAAGGTGAGATTAAATCTTATCCCTTCAAAGAACAAGTTAGCATCTTGTTGTCCAATACAGAAGGTTGTTTTTGTTTGAAAATGCAGGCAGAAGCAATAAAATTTGTTTACAGAGTAGATGAGAGAGCACAAAACTAACTCCAACACGCCACAACCTTCACAACGTGAATACATTCCTAACGTGAATACATTCCTTTTCATAAATTCCTTGTGAAAACCACTTGTATTGACATTTTTCCAAGTGTTTGGCAAACTTTATTAATCAGAAGTTTTGATGTCTAGAATGAGTGAAAATATCTTCATTTGTCAGTTGGGAAAGTGTGAATTGTCAGGGGAGATTTATGTGGGGTGATAAAGACGCTGGCATGGCATTTGAGAGTTTTGTCTCAAAAGCCTCCTTTTTTGTTGAAAGACCATTCAGGTTTGACACTATTTTGTTTTGAAATGGGGATGTTTCTTTGGAGATCTTTAAAATGGAGTGGTGGTGGAGGGCAGGTGCGTGATGGGCAGGGGTCACCAGGTGTATTTCAGTTGGAACCACCATCCTGACAATCTTGTTTTTCACTTGCGAATTTCTTCAGTTTGCTTTAATGTTTTGTGATTTGCTGACATGCTGATATAGTAAGGCAAGGCAACTATTGAAACTGCTTTACAATGTGTTTGCTTAACATGGAAGAGTATAGTGTTTCTGCTTTCATAATATATTCTTAGTTTTCCCAGCACTGTTAGGAAATTGATGTGATTTCCTCATCTGTATGAGATGTCAGCAGATCATATCAGTTCACACGGTTCCTTCCTTCCTTGTGGGAAGCGAGGGTTAAAGTGTTCCTATTTAGAGCCAATTATATGAACTTTTAAACCACATTTTTGGTTCACATTTGGCATTACACATATGTTTTGCGTGTTTAAAAGCTATTTATTTATTTATTTATTTAAAGATTTATTCATTTTTATTACAAAGTCAGATATACAGAGAGGAGGAGAGACAGAGAGGAAGATCTTCCGTCCGATGATTCACTCCCCAAGTGACCGCAACGGCTGGTGCTGCGCCGATCCGAAGCCGGGAACCAGGAGCCTCTTTCTGGGTCTCCCACCTGAGTGCAGGGTCCCAAAGAAAAGCTATTTTTTTAAACCTCTTTTTGCTGGAAGTATTTAGTGGAGAAGGCCAATTTTTGAGACCCATCATCAAGACTGTGTTCTAAAGATTCACTGTATGAAATTAATGAGTTATTTCACATCTTAGGGTTATTTTTTTAGTCTGGTCATTTACCTTAGGGGATTTCATTTAAAAACAAAAAAAGAAGTAATTCCCTTGTAACTGCTGCTGATCCTACAAATTAAACCGATACACCAGCCGAAGCAGAGCAGGAACAGAAAAGCACCCGAGTGAGCTGCCTCCTCCGCCCCATCTGAGAGTTGGCGGAGAGCGCCACGAGCACTGTGTCCTCTTGGTGAATACACTGACTTTGGCTCTCTGCATTGTTCACCTGGAGTGTAGCTGCATTCAGGACAGGAAGGCATTAAGAGGGCTTCTGTTCCGATCTGAAAACTGTCAACAGAGAGGAAGAGCAGAAAGAACTTGGAGTGCAGAGCCCTCGGAAGAAGAATGGTAGGACTCTGGGATGAATTTGCAGCTGCTCTAGTCTCATGAGGATACTTAAGGAGTTGAATCTTGAGTGGAAAAAGCTTATAGAGAACTTACCTACTAAGGGGTTCCAAGTGTAATCTTCTTTCTTGCAACTGGAACAAGAGGAGATGTGTAACTTTTTTATTGGTGATAAAATTATTTGCTCTAGGAATTCCTATAGCTTGTACATTATTATGCGTTTGACAATACCGCATTAATTTAAGATCAAATTAACACTATCATATATTGTATTACTAATAAGTTCATTATAATATTAAAATAGTGAATTTAAAAATTAAATTATTGGGCCCGGCGCGGTGGCGCAGTGGTTAAGGTCCTCGTCTTGCACGCCCCGGGATCCCATATGGGCACTGGTTCTAAACCCGGCAGCCCCGCTTCCTTTCCAGCTCCCTGCCTGTGGCCTGGGAGGGCAGTGGAGGACGGCCCAAAGCTTTGGGTCCCTGTACCCACGTGGGAGACCCGGAAGAGGCTCGTGTCTCCTGGCGTCTGATTGGCTCAGCTCTGGCCATTGTGCCCACTTGGGGAGTGCATCAGTGGATACAAGATCTTTCTCTTTGTCTCTCCTTCTTTCTGTAAATCTGACTTTGCACTGAAAAGAAATAGATCTTAAAAAAAAATTTAAAAAAACTATTTTGTAGTCTCAACGTAGTTATAAAGCCTTAAATTTTCAAATGGTGAAGTAGAAATAAAGAATGCTTGGTTTAGTGTAGTATATTATTTATTCTCGAGTGCCACGGAATGATTAGACTTGTGCACAAGTTTGTCCACTGTGCTTATTACAAAAATAATCCACTAATTCCTGTTTCATAACTTTAGGGCAAGTGGTAAGTCATGGGATCTTGAGTGATTTTTTTGATGTATATGAATGAGGGACACAGGAACTGTGCATTTGTCTGATGTGAAAAATAAATTCGTTGCTTGTCTGTTGTTTGCACTTTGCTGAGAGGAGACATATTTGGCCGAATTTTGTCTCCAGGCTTAGCAGGTGGCTAAACTGGGAGTTAAAGCCAGCCACTCTTGGCTTCGGAACTTGTGGTCTTACCTCCTACACAGGAACTGTTTTTAAAGGTACATCAGCATTTGGACAAAGTTATGTCTGTTGGAACTAAGTTTCTTTTTTGTCCTAAAAAAGAAGCAATCACGTATTTTCCTTAATAGTATGAATGAGAAAATTGATTTGGTAAGTTAAATAAAAATGATATTGCTAACTTGATTTCTTTGATAGTGTTAAGCTAATTTCAAAAGAAGAACCCATGATGTTAGTTTTTGTTAATTATGTTATTAAAAGATATGTAAAAAGACCTAATGCTTAAAATGGTGTTAGTCTTATTTTTTATAGATTTACTTTTTTTTTTAATTAGGAAAGAAGATTTTTAAAAAGGATTTATTTATTTTTATTGCAAAAGCAGGTATACAGAGAGAAGGAGAGACAGAGAGGAAGAGCTTCTGTCCAAAGATTCACTCCCCTAGTGACTGCAAATGGCCTGTACTGAGCCTATCCGAAGCCAGGAGCCAGGAACCTCCTCCAGGTCTCCCATGCAGGTGCAGGGTCCCAAAGCTTTGGGTGGTCCTCGACTGCTTTCCCAGACCACAGGCAGGGAGCTGGATGGGAAGTGGAGCTGCCAGGATTAGAACCGGTGCCCATATAGGATCCTGGCATGTTCAAGGCGAGGACTTTAGCTGCTAGGCCACCACGTCAGG